TTGAATAATTTTAGCAGAGTGGTGGGGAGAGGATGTCCTGACTTTCTGGACCAGGCAGGTGATTTGGGCAGGGGAAGGGAATATTGGCCTGGAGTGTGAGAGCCAGGCAGAGGCGGTGGGTAGTGGGAGGGTGGTGGTGGTGGTGGCTGGCTCTGAATTGTTCTGTTTGTTTATGAAAAGCATGCCCCTGGAAGAGTCCTTTGTTATCTTTTAGAATTAGCTAACCCTGAGATAGACAGTCCTTCCCCAGTCAGTGAGACCACAGATGTCAGAGCATCAAGAATACAGAAAATTAGAAAATATAGTTAGTACAGGATGATAATCTCCAGTAGCCTATAGGATCACTGAGGGAGACTCAATTAGAGTCACACATAGATGTTGAAGAGATTGGAACAGGGGCTTTAAGGGCATTGCTATAAAGAGAAACAACAGGAAAATGCAACAGGCATGTCTTATTAGAAGACAGTATCAGTGATTTTGGGGGGGACAAGCGAGCTGAAGGCTCACCTATGGCAAATAACAAGGCGACACTGTTCGGTGGGTACTTAACTGCTATTCTAACCCCCCTTTTTTGGTCACTTCCCACTACAGAGTCCAGAAAGTCAGAAACTTGCTTTCCCATACTCCTTACAGGCAAAGGTGACCATGGGGACAATGGGGAACATTTGTTAGGGGACTTCTGGGAAGGGTTTGTCTTCCTGGATACAGAGACAAAGCCTCACACAGACAACACTTTTCTTTTGCTTGGATATGACTGTGATGTTTGGAGTACTAGTACCTATTCTGAGGCCACAAGGCAATAGCATAAAAATTTAAGACCAACATACTAAGGAAAGCGGAGTAGAAGGATGGAAAGAGCCCCAGTATGTGAGGGCATCCTTGAGTTATAGAACAAATCCTGACTTCCTACCTCTACTCTTCAAATGAGTAAAATAAAATGTGGCTTAAACTACTGTTGGTTGAGTTTGAATGCCTTTCTTACCGATACAGAGGATTTGCATTGAGTAGTAGCAGGGGAATTGTTTAAGTTATTGTTGGGTGAGTGGCTCAGTTTCTTTCTGGAATTTTTATCTTTTTAACCTAAGTAACATTTTGGTCCATCAAGGTCAGGGTTTTGGCAAGAAACAGATGGCACATTTGGCACAGAAAGGATGATTGGAGAGAATTAAAGGACTTTTACAAAGGTGTAATCAGGGTTAAGGATAATTCATGGAGGACTTGAAACACCCAGAGGCTAGATACCTTAGGCTGTCACAAGTAGGCCCTGCCTGAAGGGCCGGGGGAGGGGAGTAGGCCCCAGGACTCAGGGACAGCTGAGCTACAGATAAAAAGCTATAGCTTTAGATGGAATAGAAAGTCACTATCTCCCTGCCTGCCCACAGGGAAAGA